TGCCAGCGGCCCAGGGTTCGGATCCCGGGCGCAGACATGGTACCACTCATCAGGCCACGTTGAGGTGGCATCCCACATCCCACAACTAGAAGGACCTGCAACTAAGATATACAACTATGGACCGGGGGGTGGGGGGGGGGGGGGGGGGGGGAGAATAAAGCAGAAAAAAAAAAAAACTACAGAAATTTCTTATCTTCCAGCTCTGGAGGCCAGAAGCCCAAAATGTAAGTGTCAGCAGGGCCGCGGTAGCTCCCCGGGCTCCAGAAGCTCCTCGGCTCGTGGCAGCATCGCTCCGCTCTGCCTCCGGCTTCTCCCTCGTGTGCTTCTCCCCTTCTGCCTCATATCGCCCTCTTCTTCCTCTCCCAAGGACTCCGGTCACTGGATTTAGTTATTTAGTGCCCACCCGAAATCCAGGCTGACCTCATCTGGAGGTGGTTGACTTATAGACCTCCAGAGATCCTTTTTCCAAATAAGGTCACACTCACAGTTTCCAGGGGTGAGGATGTGGTCATATCTTTTGGGGGACACAATTCAACCCACAACAGGAAAAGAAAAAAGGTCTACGCTTCCCCAAAGGGCATAAACTAATGGCCCGCAAGGGCCTTCTCAGAGACGGCCAGCTCTGTGGCCTGCGTTGTCAGGGAGCCACCTAGCATGTGGCAGGGGCTGTGTGTCTCAGGCCAGCCCAGTGACCAGGCTGGATGAAAAACAGATACTTCCACTGTTCCATGAAGCAAGCTGGATGTAGGAGAGGCCAAAAAACAGAAGTAGAGGACGTCAGAGCTGAAGGGACCCGGACAGGTATAACCCAGCATCCTCGTGCAGCCGGGGACTTGGATCAACGCGCAGTTATAGGACCCATCACACTGCGTGTTCATGTCCGTCAAATTGTGTGAACCTCTCCTGGCAGGCAGACTAATAACTATCCCTAACAGATGGGGAAACTGAGGCCCAGGGCTTGAGTGTGGCGGCCCAGGGTCACTGAGCCAGGATGTGGCAGAGGCCTAACTTCAGCTGGTTAATCCAGCTCTCCATTCCTCCCGCCCCATGCTTAGCCCTCATTCAAAGCCGAGCTTTGCAAGCATCAGCAACGAAAGAGATGAAGAGGGCGAGTGGGGTGCGAGCTGCCAGAACCCCCGTCGCAGGAGCACGTCTGAGGATGCTCTCCTGACCTCCATTCCAGAGGAGCAGCGGGTCAGGTGGAGGAGGATCCCTCCTGCCCTCCGGCTCTGTGCTCAGAGAGGCAGCCCCATGCTCCCCACCCCGCTGCTGAGCTCCACGAAGCGTCTGGCTCCCGCCAGCCGACAACAGCACTTCCCCTGGGCCTGGAGAGCTCAGCCTGGCGAGCAGAGTCCAGTAGCTGCTCCGGGGCCGCCTTATCCAGAGGAAAGGTCGGCGTGTTCAGCAAGTACAGAGGGAGGGCTGCAAGGCAGCTGCTTCCGGGCTGCCGCAGCCCAGCCACGGCCTCCCGATGCTGGAGGCTCACAGGGGACCCAGCTCATCAGCCCCTGCCCGCCCCTCAGCCTGTGCTCACTCACAGCCCCAGAAGCCTTGAGGGCCCCGCCCCGCCCACCTGTGATGGGAGAAGGAAGACTTGCACAGCGAGAAAGCTGCATGCAAAAATCACTCACAGCTTGCAAAGGGCTTTATGAACACTCACTGTCTTCATGATCAAACCTGACCTGTGTCCCACTCCCTGAGAGGAAGCAGCTTAAAAATAAATCCATGCCACTGCTTTAAGATAACTCCTCCCAGGTTTGTCTTTTGCCAGAAGTTTTGAAAGGAGATAATCGCTCCTGACACGAAAGGGGTGAGATTCTATGGGAACACCGTGGACATCTGGACAGGGGTGGGGGAGGCTGGTGGCAACAGGAATTTGGGGGCAGATCTGCTCTCTACAAGCATGAGAATCTTGTGGTCACTGGCAGACACAAAGCTTGACTTATTTTGGGGTGGATATCATGCCGTGTGAACTCTAAGCATGTCCAAGGGTCTTTATAAACTCTTAGAATCCCCAAGAGATCAGGCCAAGGTCTCTGAGGCCTAAGAAAGTCTGGAGTGATCCAAGAAGGCTGCCTGGAGGAAGCAGCATTTGGAGGCTTTGGTTACCAGGAAAGGTATGACTCTGGGCCTCACTTCATGTGAAACCAACATGCTGCCATATCCAGGAAGAGCAGCTACACCCCTGAGAGCAGATAGAGCTGGATATAAATGGAAAGTTCCAGGGCTTAGAAGACTTCTGCTCTTCCACTCTTCCCCCAGAGGCTGTGTGATCTTAGGAAAGCAGTGTGACCTCTCTGATCCAGTTCTTCCTCTGTAAAATGGAAAGCACAGTCCCTGCCATACACACATGCCATGGCTGTCGCAGGGACAGAGTTCATAGCTGTGGGGCGTTCTATATCTGTAACATGCTGCACGCATGCCTGGGCCAGTCCCCAAGGGGAAGGATTGGTGCTTCAGGCTGGAGACAGACTTGGCGTGTGGGGGCGGGGGTGGGGAGCCTTGACGTGTCAGCTGCCCAAGAATTACAGCATCTGGAAAAATCACTTTGATGAACTTGACTACCAGCCACAAATCACTGCATTTTAAAACCCCTTCCAAAACAAAAAACAAACAAAACCCTTTGCAGAAGGCTGAGGGAGATGTTTTTCTCTCCTTCTGTGATAGCAGATGGAGGGGACGCCAAACAGATGCTGACGAGATAGGGCCCCGCAGGCCTCTCCAGGCCAGAAAGGCCCGGGGCTGACTGTGGCCGCAAACGCCGTGTTGGCATGCCCCTGGCCATGTCCTCGGCTACCTTCCATCCCCTGGGATGGGAGGGGACCCTATTCTGCAGGTTGGTTTTGAAATAGTGAACTGAGCGCTACCCAGGGCCAGACTGTGGGTCCCCACAAGCTGCTGCCCTCAATTCCTTCCCGTCTCTGCCCAGGCAAACCCTACTGCCATGGCTCTTCTTCACATCCTGCCTTCCCACCCACCTCCAGGGCTTTGCTCAAGCTCTTCCCTCTCCCTGAAAGGCTCTCTTCCTCTCCCCTCCACCTCGCCCATCACCACATGCCCCAAACCTCACGGCTCCGCGGCTCCACCATCAGAAGCCCTCCCCCCTCTGCCCAACCACAGCGTGTCATGGGGACCCCCACCTTCCACCTCAGCACCGGCCGTCTAGTACTGGATCCGCCTAACTCACATGCCTGAGGATGGACACTGCTCTATTCATGCCTGTGCCCCACTCAGCAGGGGCTTGGCACGTACTGGACCAACGGAGGGAGCTAGCTCGCGTACAGAAACGCTGGAGTGACAGCCAGGCAGCCTTCTCTCTGGTCTGACTAGGTGGTCTCCACAACTCAGCTCTGCCTGGCCCAAATCTTTTTTTTTTTTTGCAGATAGTCTTTTTTTTCTTTTCTTTTGCCAGCCAAATTCTAATGGCCCTGCAACTCCCACCTCCTCCAGGAAGCCCGCTGGGGTTGCAGCTGTCTTCCCTCTTGGTCTCCTAGTCAATGCTACATAATTTAGCACTTGTTGACATTCTGTTTTCTATTGCACTAAAATTGCTCCTTGTACATGCAGACGACATCGACAAGAAAGGAGCTCCCGGGCATCAGGCGCCATATTGGGCTCTTCCATATCCAGCCCTATACCCACCCTCCACCCTCATCACAGGGGCCTTACACTGTGCTGAGACCACAGAGAAAGGAAACCAAGCATTCAGCAAACAGGAGTAAATCCTTGCCCCATCCCTTATTAGCAACAGCCTCCACTTGTGGTTTAAACTCTAAACTTCAGAGAGAGCAGGGGGTCAGCAAAGTTTCTCTGAAAGATGGGACAGGAAATATTTTGAGTTTTGCGGGCCCTGCAGTCACCTCTGCAACTATTCAACTCTGCCTTCACAGGGGGGAAAGCAATCACAGACAATACACAAATGAACGGCACGGCTGTGTTCCAATAAAACTTTATTGACAAAACAGGCAGTGGGCCAGACTGGCCCATGGGCTATAGTCCGCCCACCTCTGCTTTAGAGGATTATTTGAGACGGCATTTAAGCCCCTCTCCACACAGACCTCAGACCACACCGTGAAACATCCCAAATGCTGCCCCAGCCCCTAGCACGCTCATCTCTTCAGCAGACTTGGTTTCCTTCTCAGCACTCGCCAACGTCTGAAATTATAACCCGTCTCCTGGTGACTGTCTCCCCCACCAGAACGGAAAACTCCAGGAGGGCAGAGGCTGCATCTCCAGCACCTAGGACGGTACCTGGCCCAGACTGGGCACCCTTTAACATCTGTGGACTGAATAGAGGCCATTATTATTATTGTCGTTGTTGTTGAGGTCTTCAATAAATATGTTGTTTGATTATGTACTTATGACTATGGTTAATGTGTTGGTCCATTTACCGTGATTGATCATTTGCGTTTGCAAAGCCCCAGGTAACTGACATGTGATGCAGGATCATAATCCTCCCTTTTTGGGAAATGAGGGGGCTGAAGCTCAAAGGAGACACTGCCTGCTGGTGACCAGGCAGCGATTCGAACCCAGATCACCTGGCTGGTCCTGAAGGGAGGTGATCCGGCAGTGTGGAAAGATCACGGGATGTGGAGTTTACCCTTCAACCTCACTTGAATGGACACGTCATTTCACTTTCTGAAACATGACGACGATAATGCCAACTTCACAGGGGCACGGATGAGATTAGATAAAATACAGACGATACAGCACTCAGGGCAGTGCGGGGCACAGGGCTAAGGCTGTTGAGCTGGCTGTTATTATGTAACAAGACGACAGTAACTACATCCACCCTGCCCCACAAGGCTTAGAGGGGATTAGATAAGGACATGCCCAGGAAAATGATTATGAAACTGTCAATCCCCAAACTAATGTAAGACACATTTTTTTTTTTTTACAACACCCTCTGGGCATTGCAGAAATTATTTCCCCTCTTTTAAAAACAAAACAAAACTACACATGAACATCTTCCATAACGACAAAAATAAACCACAAAGACCTTTGATCTCTTCAGAGTCTTTTAATTGCAGTCAAGAAAAGGGTTAAGTTTTCATCCGCTCACATTTGTATCAGAGTCCAGTTACCACACAGGACAAAACTGAAACAAAACCAAGAGGGTCTCATCAAACTGAGGACATGGGGACGGGGTCTCCGTTTCAGTCCATGCACGTCCGCTGTCCTCTCGCAGAGAAAACAGACACGAAAGAAAAACAGTGAGCCTAAAAAACCAGAGGAAGTGTTACCACGCTCCTGGCGTCCTGCGCCCATGGAGGGGGGACAATCTCTTGGAAGGTTCCGGGTGTGGCAGGAATCGTGCATGCTAGGGTTACATTGCGGGGAGCGGGACATGACATCAACACACACACACACACACACACACACAACTTTCCTTCCTGCCCACTTCAGTAGAAAGTGATTCGCTTGGTTTCAGATTTAAATATTTATTCCTCAAATACAAAACAACGTTGAACACGCGCATCCCCTAATGTCCCAGCCATCTGGCTGTGCTCGGATCATCTTCAGATGAAACAACCAGCTGGGATCCCGACTTCACAGAGTTCTGAGTCTTCCTTGCCTCGGAGGGTGACTTTCCAAATGCTCTGGGCCTCCCTGTCTCTTGGAAAAGGGCAGTTTTATTTTTCTGGTCCCATAGTTAGCACTTTGAGGATTTTCAAAGCAGGATTAGCCATACTCCATCTGGAAAGTTTCTCCTGGCTTTGCCTGGTGATATCGATAATTCGTTTGGGACACGATTAAAGTCCCCGTGAGGCTGGCTGGTCATACACCACCCAGTGTGATTCAGACCACGCTGGTCCCTAGGCTGTCCCAGTAGTGAGCTGCTGCCTGGCTGTGCAGGGGGCCCCCAAGCCCGCAAACTCACTTCTCAGGAGGAACGCCCGCGCCAGCACGCCAATTCTCCGTGCGACTCTGCGGCCGCGGGGAACCACTGCCCCTGTGCAGCCTGTTTGGGACACTGCACCTGTGGCCACACCATCTTTCTCACCACAGGCTGCTGAACAACATGGGTCTTTTCTCCGAAAAATTCTTATTTTTAAGATATTTCTGTCCTACCCCACCCTCCCCCCTAAAAATGTTAAACAAGTTACCATGTGTTATTTCTGAGTACTGCGAGCGTGGGGAAAGAATGTTCATGCTGGAGAAACTCAGCCTTCCTCAGTTCAACAAGGAGAATTTGTCTCTTTAACCTGCAGTGGCCTTTTCTGGGGTCGGCCTTGCTGATAATGCAACAGGGTTGAAGCATTTCCTGGGCTCAGCGTTATACAACTAGTAAATCAGTGAGGAAACGAGATGGACGCTTTTAAACTCTGTCCATCACAGCTAAAATTACCCCACTAATTATAGCTTCTATAAATCAGCCCAGGTTAAGGGAGGGGGTGCCCGCGCTCCGTGAAATGCAATTCACTCCGCTCAACCCTGCTGCTTGATTTGGTCAACAGACTCCGGAGGACCTCCGAATTAAGAAAACAGAAGGTATAAATGGAACGAGCTCCTAGGGAGAGGAGGAGCGGCTGCGAGAGGAATTTTTAAGATCTCCCTCCACTGATGCTTCCCAGGGCTGGACACTTGAGAACGAATGAGGTCTGCTGGAATCCAGAAATTATAGACTCACTTTAAAATGCCGCAACATGCCATAATTCATCCTGTTTGTTCCATGGGTCATTTGGACTGCAAAGACAACGGCTTTGTATATTTCCCGGATTTAAAACCAAGCCATGACCAGCAGAGGTCTTCCGTGTTGTCACACGGCTCCAAGGATAGGCCTCGGGGATGTCCCAGGGCCCCCTAACACTTGTGAGAGGCCCCCATCAGCCAAAAGACTCAGCCAAATCCATTTCTTCCAGAACTTTCAAGGAGCCCTGCACTGGCTGTGACATTTTGTTTTCGTTTTACTTTTGAAAAACTTCAAGGTCATTTCACAAAACTTGGAAATCGAATCCAAATCCACTCCACATCCCCTCCTTCTTTGCTCTAAATCTCCTCGTCCTAAACCGCTTGGGGAGAATGCAACCTATTGTACCTTATCAGATGCTTCCTTGTCTTAAATCCACGGCAATCGCATTTAATTTTGTTAGAGTTTGTGTCCTGTGGTCATGCATAGACTCCTAAACCAACAACAATTAAAAACAAGGTACATTCCTTAATTCCAAATTCCACTCTACTTACACAAGGCATGATCAAGCTGGATCTGAGGGTGTCTTTCAAAGAACAATAATAAATATGTCAAGCCCTCCCTAATCCTCACCCAAGCCCACTTCCCAGGTGAGAAGGAACGGGACACACACAGACAACAAGGAACCTCTCCCAGCTCTCGGGGAGAGCACAGCACCCCATCTGGATGGAGGCTTGGACCGGTGTGGCTTCAACGCCAGCCACCCAGCTGTCCACTCATCACGTCAGGCTGCCCTGCCCTCCCCTGGCTGGAACCCCATCTTCACGAAAGTGGAAGCTCACATTTACACTCCTCCTTTCACTTAAGGAGGTGACTGATGGGATGTGCAATGAAAAGGAGAGTGAATTTTGGGGACCTGAGAAATGGACCTCAGGCTCTTGGGTGGGGGTCTTGGTGCCTGAGCTATTTAACCTGACTCACTCTTAAAATCTCATGCACTTCAGAAAAAGGGCCCCCTGTCGCCTCTACTTCCCAGCCCCCAGTTGCCCTCCACACGCCAAGAAACAGAGAGGAGGAATCGGCCAGCTTCGACCTCACACACGCCCATTAAAACGACATCCTTCACACCAGGCTTACAACCTTAGCTCAAAGTTCAAGTCAGTAAAAGCCAACTTGATTAAAGAACTGTCATGGAGAGAGACTCTGTGAGTCTGGAAAGCAACTCTTTTCAAGCCTTTCTGCCTCACCACGCAGGGCTGACTGCTGAGACGGTGGGAAGGCCCCTCCACAGAGCACTCAAGAGGCCAGGAATCCCCATCTCTTCCCACACACGCCCAGCTTCTGTGAGCTCCTTCCAGCCAGGGCTCTCCTTGGCCCGGGGGACTTGGGGCACCCAGAAGCCATTACCCCATCCCGTGTCACTACCCCAGGAGGTGTGCAGGGAGAATCTGCTGAGGTCTGGGGGTTCAGGGTCTGCTCTGCCACTTACTATGTGTCTTGGGCAAAGCGTTTCTCTGATCTTCCATTTCCCATCTGCAAAATGGGCTGCGATTCCCACCTCCTTAGGGCCCGAGGCGTGTGTGTGTGGAAGGGCTTTGCAGTGGAAAGTGCCAGACTGACAAAAGGGGTTATAATTGTCATTGATGCTCTTTGCCAGAGTCTGCCTGGCACTTAGCAGATTAATTCCTGTGTCCCTTGGGGTGGCTGCACTCACTCCTGTAGTCATTCGTTGTTGGGGAACTTTCATCCACAGCTTGTACCACCACCAAAAAGAATGGCCTGGGTTCTGTGAGGCAGCCTGATTTACGGAGATCACAAGAGCCTGACCCCTTGCAGGTGAGTTCTCATTTGGACCCTTTGTGTTAACTTTGTGCCTCAGTTTGCTCAACTGTGAAATGGGGAGAACACCATCAGTTGGGGGCGAGGTGTGGTCCAGACTGGAAACCACTTAGGCAGTCCCCTGGCTAATGCCTTGCCTGCTTGAACACGTACACTCGCCACTTTCCACCACCCTGATCCCAATTCCCACCACCCGCGATGACAAGGCCCAAAGATGACTCTTAAAGCCCCTCTGCCTTCTGCTCCGTGACGCCACTCGGCCTTCCCCAGCTCCAACAGCCAGGCTAAGACAGAGATGTGAGCCCCACGGCTGACTGGGGCCTGCGGGAGGCGGGTGGACCATAATTACACAGAACATCCTGACATTTCCCTCTTCACTCCAGACGTTTATTTCCTGTGAGCTGGGCGAGTACTGAAGCACTTCGCAGGGCCTCCCGCGTGGAGACGTGGAGAGTGGAAGGGAAGCAGCTTGCTCCTGCCACCTTGGGCCTGCCCAGGGCCAAGCTGGGAGCAGCTCTCTGGCTCTCGCCCCACCCCGTGCACACCCACTCATCGTGGATTTCCACCAGGTGCTCATTTCTGAAAACCCTCCCCCCTGCCCCTCAATCCCTCTCTCCCTGTCAGTTCCCGGTGACCCTTCTCCAGACTACACAAATGCTTTTTTTTTTTTTTTTTTAATGCAGGATCCTTTTTATAGGAAGTCTGAGAGTAGATCATGGACAAAGAGACAGGCAGAAGTTTATAAAAAGAGTTCTGGAGATGTCAGATCTCTCAGGGTAGAATGCTGCTGCCTGCTTCTGTCCTGTGTTAGAATGTTCTAGAATAATGGAGTACTGGAGGAGGAGTGGGAGTCAGGGCTCATCCTGGACTCCCCTACAGGCTCACCCTCTCCAATGGGACAGAGGGCAGCATCCAAAAACAGTGCTGAAGGGGTAGGGGTGCAGGGCAGGCACCTGGAAGTCTGATGTCTAAGGGAGGGAGAAAATAACAGCCATTGCAAGATTCTCTTGAAATTAATGCAGCGGCTCCTTTGAGTACTTCTCAGCAGAACTGGTATTAGTGGCAACATTCCCAATTACGGTCTACGACTCACTTGGGCAAAGATGATGCCCCCTATTTCTTACGAGCTGAATGTTTTAAAATGCTTAACCTTTCTGAATCTTAATTTCCTCATCCGCAAAGTGGTGAAAACATTCCCCATCTCAGAGTTCCTGAAAGGTAAAACTGAGATGATGTACATAAATCTGGAAGTGCTGAGACTGACACAATATAAATCATAACGTTTTAAAAAAATAAGTAGCTGTGTTGAAGGATTCCCCTACACAGGTACCATTCTACACGAGTTTGCGCCTTTCATATTCCCAACGGCCCTGGGATGCAGATGCTCTTCCTGTGCCCATTTTACAGGCAGAAAAGGCAAGGAGCAGAGGGGTTAGTAACCTGCCCAAGGTCACAAATGACGGAGGCTGGATATGGGCCATCTTGCCCCTTGAGGCCAACCTGGCCTCCAAACGGCTGCCTCCTTCTTTCCCTTAGAGATGCTCCTCATGAAAAAGGCAGGATTGGGTGTCGCTCCAGATGTCCTAAATGTCATTTCACCTGCTCCAGGAGTCACTTTGACCTTTTAAAAGTACAAGCAGTGGAAAAATACCACTTCTTGTAAAAAGCTATTATTTGGGGCACTATGTCCCACAGCAAGAATGCACAGCCTTCCCCGGCAGGGACCTTCCACCAAATACCAGAGGCAGCCCAGGGCACGAGCGAGGTCACCTGGGCCCCAGCAGCAGAAACTCTGAGCCCTAGCTTCCTTGTCTATGAAATGGATTTAATGCAAAATCAAAAGATGAACGCATTAAATAAAAGCCATTCCTACTGGCCCTTGGCCTCCATCCCGTACCCCCTCCCCCACCATGGTCCGTGCAACCGTACAGAATGCAAGGTCTGGTCCCAAGAGCTCATCCCGCACACGGGAGCTTCTCCAGGCCTTTGCAAGCTCCCGGGGTGCTCCTCTTCTGGCCCCAGCCAGTGAAGCAGGGAGACAGTCGCTGGAGAAAGAGGGAGGGTCAGCACTCCCACCTGGCCGTGATGCTGTCACCCCGCCTGCTCTTAGACCCCGCTGGCAAACAGAACGTCAGAACGCAGGGCTAGGCCCTGGCCACCCCAGACACCCAGGAGGAAGGACAACCCGCCCCAGCGCCGCCAGGTCCCTGGGCGGCCCAGGGGTGCGCTGCTGGGAGCCGACTGGCGGGAGAGGTGCCGAGCATGGTTGTGGGGCAGAAAGGCCCTGGAGAAGAGGGGTAACGGGAGTGACCATGACAGAGGCAGGAAAGCGTCCGGAGAGAGGGCGCAGCTTCCACCCTTGGATCCGCAGCCTTAAGTCTGGGGATTTCGCGGGAGGCCTGAGGATCGCGGGCTCAGGAGAGAACCCCAGGTTCCCTCAACTCCGGTGGACCCTGCTTTCCCGCTACAGCTTCGGGTCAGTGGCGAGGAAGAAAAGAGTCCCGGTTATCCCGAAGGGAACAGGAACCCCCAGCTGCCGGCTGCCCCCTCTCACCAGCAATGCTGCCTTCCCAACGCCGGCAATGCCACTCTCCACCCCTTCCCGGAGACGAGAGACTAAGTTTACTTTAAAACTAGGACACCCATCTGTCCTGTGCCTGATTTATACCCAGAGTTTCTTCCTTTTTCTTTTCTTCCCCCCGCCCCCTCCTTTGGACAGGTCAGAGCTGCTCAACTTTTCTTCTGAAGCTACAGACTAAATAGATTTCTTTTCAGGCCTCAGATGGTACTGGTGGTGGGGTACGAAATACAGAATGTGGCCCGTCTACATCGCCATCATTTTATTGTATTGTCACCGTTAACTTAGCTATAAATACTACGGTGGGGAGCGAGGCGCCCGCGCGCGGCCTCGGACTGCGGGGCTGCGGAGCCCCGGCGCGGCACGGCGACCCCAGGCGCGCACCCTCCCGGCTCTGTACACTATTTACAGATCTTCCTTCCTTTCTCGACCCCCTCCCGCAAGGCAGCGCGTGTGCAAGAAAGTAGCATCGTCTGTCTGTGCAAGTCCTTCGAGTTAGGCAAGCGCCACGGCCGGCCCGCAGCCGTCAGCTGTCCGAGTCCACATCGCTTTTACCTTCCTCTTCCCTCTTCTCGGGCGAGGCTTTCGACGATGTCTTGTTCCACTTCTCGGCGTTTTCCGACTCCTCCGACGAGGACCGCTTCTGCCGCCTCCATTTGGCACGGCGGTTTTTAAACCAGACCTGTGGCGCAACGGAGGCCAGAACAACAGTTAAGATCCACGGCGCGGTCCCCCAAAGCCCGGGCACCCCCTGGACGCGGGGCGGCGGCAGGGCGACCTGCGCGTGGAATTGGACCCGGGGGACCCCGCGCGCGCCAACAAAAGGAGGGGAGACTCGCTCCCGCTTCCGCATTTTCATTCAACTTCCTGGGCCTAAAGCCCTCCAGCATCCTCCAGGCCGCCATTGGGATGTTTTTAAAGCACGGGGGGACCCAAGGAAAGCTAAGCAAACCCCGCCAGGGGCCCTCTGTCGCTGGGAAGGGCCGCCAGGCGCGCCTACCTCCACTTTCTCCTCGCGGAGGTGCACCTTCCGGGCCAGCTGCTCGCGCGTACCCACGTCTGGGTACTTGGTCTCCTGGAAGAGGTTCTCGAGCGCTTCCAGCTGCTCGTCGGTGAAGATGGTACGGTGCCGCCGCTTCCGCCGGCAGTGCAGCTGGTTGAGCAGCTGCAGCTCCGTCCGCGACAGCGTGCCCACGTTCATGTAGGGCAGCATCTGGTGTGGCACCGGGGACACCAGCACCGAGCCTGGGCCCTCGTAGCCTGCGACGGAGTGGGGCGCACGGTCAGCCGCCTCCCTTGCCACTGCGCACACGCCCGCCCGCCTGCGACCTACTCCAGACTTTCACATCGTCTGCCAAGGGGGTGCCGCGAATTGGGGTGCGCGGAAAACGAAGATGCAGGGAAGTGGGGGAATCATGCCAGAGCGTCCACCCGCACATTCCCAAAAGCCACTGAGGGAATTCTAAAAGCCGTGTCTCCCCATGCAGGCACTGAGTTACAGTTTCCGCTAACTCGCTTAAAGTTTGCAGCAAGGGTGGAAATCTCTGCGCCCGATGGGCAAGCGGGGGAGCCAGGTTTGCAAGAGAGGAAAAGTTTGTGCAAAGTGAAAAACAGGAGGCCCCCCCCCCCCGACCTCCCCCTTCACGCCCAGGTGCTGAAGACCGCAGCGGGGGACGAGGCCCGCGCGAGCGGGACCTACCTGAGGGCGTCGGGACGCAGGAGCACTGCTGGGCACCCAGCGGCGGCACGGCTCCGCAGCAGGCCGGGCCCACGGGCGCCGCCTGCACGTGCAGCTGCCCGTAGAAGTAGTTGTTGTAGCCGAGGCGGGAGCCGCCGACCGCGGCCGGGAGGCCTGCGCTGCCGGGGGCCACGGGGCGCGGGTAGAAGGCGCCATAGTCCGAGGAGGCGCCGCCGCCGGCGCCGTAGAGCGAGTCCCCGTGCAGGGCCGGGAAGACGACGGGAGCCGCGGCGCTGGGCGCCACCGGCAGCACCGAGTCCTTGCAGCGCGGCCGGGCGGCCAGGATGTTGTCGATGCTGAACATGCTGGCGGGCATCCCCGAGCCCCGCGCCGGGACCGAGGGGCGGCGGGGACGCGCCGAGGAAAAAGCTTCAAAGTGGGGGTGGAGGGGGGGATCCCCTCTCCTTCTGCCGCGGACCAAACCGAAAGAGAGCGCCGGCGAGCGCGCAGCCCCGCGCCCCTCCCCGCCCCCAGCGTCCGCTCTCCCTCCTCCCGCCCTCCCCTCGCCGCCGCGTTCGCTGAACTCAACCCGCGGGTAGGACGGAGTTTAGACCAGCTGAACCTCTTGTTGGTTTTATACTGAGTCGACGTCATCGTGGATTTAGTTCCTGGTAATATGCAGATGACAAACAGAACCAGATTGGGCCCTTTCTGTGCCTTTGAGGGGGGGTGGGGGGCTTCAGGGAAGGGGGAGGGGAAGAGGTGCCGAAGGGAGGGGGTTACGGGGCCTGAAGAGAGATTGTGGATTGCGAATTAATGAAATTAACCTAATCTCTTCCATTCCGCCGCCCCGCCGCGGGCCGGCCGAGCTGGGCGGGCGTCCTAATTGCCCCGGTTAATCTCATTAATTCCATTGTGCGGCCGCAGTTAACAGCTCGCTCCGCCCGGCCTCTCCGCCCCGACCCGTTTTTCTCAGATTGGGTCCTATTATTGGGTGCGATTTCCTCTGCCTGAAGCTCAAATTCATTGTGGCCGATTTTACTCTGGGGCTACTTTTTTTTTTCTTTCGGAATTTGTTTTGTTTTAGAAAATGTAAGGGGCTGCGTCCTTGCTCCAGCAAGACGGAAAATTTCGCTCTTCCTCGCGGCCCCCGCGCGCTCACCGCCTAATTGCGCCTCTATTTTTTTTATCTTTAGGTTTTCTCCCGAATGGAACTGGTTAACCCCCCAAACCCCTTTTGTTTTTGCAAAGGCCAAAATCTGTAAGCGCAAAAACGACGAAAGAGGTGCATCGTGGTTCCTAAATATATATATATATATATATTTTTTTTTTTTTTTTTTGCAGTCACTTTGGGTCTGAAAAGTACCGTAGCAGTCCCCGGCCCTTACACAGCGGAGACCAAAGTCAGCCGCTGTTTAAAATTCGCAACCTAGAGTAGCACTCGGAAGCGGGGCCCCCAGCTGCTCCCTGCGTGGGTGTTGGTAGGTTTTGTGTTTTTTCTTTCTTTTCTTTGAGTATTATTTTTGGAAACGGGGTGTCTTCTCCCTCAAACTGTTTTTGTTTTCAATCCAAAATCCAAAAATGGAGCTTTGGGGATTCCCTACCCCCTTCTCCAACAATTGAGTCGCCTTTTCACCTTCTGACTTGCCGGCGCCCTGACTGGGACAGGCCCCTTGGCTGTCCTTCACCCGGCAGGCCCAGGCTGGGCTCCCCGGGCCCCGGCGGCCCGGGCGAAGCCCGACCCTGCTCGCGGCAGGCGGCCGCCGTGATTTGCGAGATCCTCGGCGCGGCACGACCGGCCCGCCGGAGCCGCGGGAGGCGCATCCAGCCCACGACGGCGCGCGGGCGGTCGAGCGCCCTGCGAGAAGGTAGGCGAAGGTGCTCGCGGAACGAAAGCAGCCGCCGAGACCTGCGGGCCCCGCGCAAGCCCGCATCTTGCAGAGCTGTCCTTTCTGGGCCCTTCGCTCAGGCAACTCTGGCCACTCCAGTCAGATGCTGGGGCAGTGCTGGGCCCAGGCGAGACCGACCGCCGAGGGCCGAGGTGGGGGGCACTTCGGGTTTCCCGAAGGAGGGCCGCCTTTAACTCACGCCCATTTTTCTCTATTTCTCTCTGGCTAATTAACAGGGTTCCCCGCAGGGGTGTCTGAAGTCCCCGCAATAAGGCTGCGTCTGTGGGCCGCCTCCTCGCGGGCGCCGTGGCAGAGGGGTAAAGGGCCCTTGTCAATCGCAGGTCCCGGGTCGGAGGAGCCGTGGCGCGGCGGTTTGGTCCTGCCCTGGCGCAGAACCCCGGCGGCGCGCAGGAGCGGCGGGGAGAAACTGGGCGGCGGCGCTTCTCCGCCTAGGCCTCCCGGCGCCGACCTCCGCGCCCTCACGCCCACCCGCTCGTGGCCTGGGAGCCTTGCTTCTCTGAGTGCTGAGCAGACTAAGAAGTGGCTGTAGGGGGAGAGTCGGACAGGACGGAGATGGGTCTCAATTTGGGGAGGCGATGTATTTTTTTTTTTTTTTTTTTACAATATAAACCTCTCCCAGAGAAAGGAGTGTGACCCTCCCCTTCAGAGAGGTCAGGTCTGGAGAAAGAAGTGTAGCGCCTTCTCTCTCCTACTAACTAGGGACAGAGGCTTTTTTTTTCTTTTTTTTTGGTTCTCAGAGACGTAAAAAGCACCAGGTTCAGGCACACACATTCCCCGCCAGCATTTCCCGGGTTTAATTCTACAAGGGCACTTCATGGAAGACAACTAGAGGCTGCAACTTCTGCAGCGACTCCGGCCGCGTTTGTGATCCCGGCTGGGCGCGCGCGGCGCTGCGCGCGTTGCGTGGATCTTTTCAGACCTTTGCTGAGCCGGTCGAAGGCAGAAGCGCCGCAGGAAACCGGGGCGGATTCCTAGCCCGTTTCTGCAAAGGTGCCCTGACCTTTGATGGCGCACCGACTTCAGCCGCAGCTCTGGAGTGCCTCCGAGTTTTTAAAAGTATAAGGCAACCTCCCCCCGCTACACGCCGTCTTACTTCGTCCACTCGGTACATTGTTCTTTTTAATAAGCAGATTTAGCAAATCCCTAGACCTCGCCCCTTGCCTTCCTTCAGTCCCCCCACCATGCCATTCCACTCCTGGAAGGAAGAGCACTTGACAGCGAGTCTGAGCGTCAGAGATCTAGACCGAATGTTGCCACCTTGCAATTCATCCCTCCTGTCTAGGCCTCAGGTTTTTTAGTTGTTTTAACCAACACCAACATTCATTGAGTCCCTGACAACCCTAATATTTAATGAGGCTGGGTAATTGTCGCCCGCTCGCTTAGGAGACCTGGGGGGGGGTGCATTTTTTAGTCCTTTTCATTGGGACAAAGGAGTGTGCGGTCCCCACCCCCACCCGAAGGCAGGGTCTCTGTATCAGCCGGGACCAAGATAAGGGAAAGCCAGTCCGAAAGCTCTGTCCGCCCTGCGGAGGCTGTCTTTCCGGGAAGAGGTCACACGGACCCCGAGGCCACTGTATCCAGTTATTCAGCTAGCTCTCCTGGACTCACCCGCCGCGGGGTCTCCGCCTCCAGGTTGCCCCTCCATCTGCGGGCGCTCCACTGTGTCCTCGGAGAGGCAGGAGCTGGGGAAGGCAGTCAGGGGCGCTGCGCCTCCTCCGCGGGCGGAAACCCACTAGTGTCCGCAAAGCGCTAAACAAACAATCAGCGGCCTCGCCTTGCCTGGTGCAATTGGAATAACAAATAGGACGCACGCAAATTGCCCGCCTCGTGTTGCTAAGCGATTGTTTGTCGGCCCCGCACGCACCGCTCAGCATGGGAGGACCAGGAGCGTCCACAGGCTGCCCGCCAGCGCTTAGGTCGGAAATGCAGTAAACACGCCGCTGATTTTCCCTATTATCACCCAAACACGATTTCACACAAAGCAATCACCACGCAGAAGTCTATGAAATGTGTCTGTTGAGGAGTCAGTCGCCCCGGTAATAGCCCTCATTTTTAAGATGTTAAAGATTAGATCCGCGGATTCTGCATGCATAAGGTATATTTGCGGTTCCGCATCTACCAAGACGCTTTTGCGCCGCAGTCGCCGCTCAATTGATTCGCAGAGTGTAGATTAAATTGCTTCTCTGATTTAAAACACTGCCCAAGTTTGGAGTGTGCGTCTGGGTATCTCCTCCCAACCCAAGATATTTTCAGCATGGAGAAAACTGTGGCCCCACTATCCTTACACACACAGGCACACACACATACACACCCCTGGCTGTAAAAAAAAAAAAAAAAAAAAAATGCATATGCGGCCCCAACTTCTTACGGTTCGGGTTGGTTTCAGGAACTTTCTTTCCTTAATTCTTTCAGCCTCTTGCCCGGGCACAGAGCAGAGTTCATAATCGGATGCTTTAAAGTAGGATTTTTCGTGGCATGTGCAAAAAGCAGACGTGTCCGTTTCAAAGGTACGGAGCTCCCCTCGCAGGGAGAATTAGCCCGGTCAGAGGAATTAGGAGCCGTGCGCAGCCCGGGCTGCAGCCAGTGCGCAGCGTCCAGACCCCGCACAGTCTTCAAAGCGCAAAGCGGGTTTATTGTTTGTATTTGGGCTTTAGGAAAAAAAATCCAGCGTCTCAAAACCCGCTCCACGGCCCTGATGCTCCCTTGAGGACACCTCTGGTGGCCGTAGGTGATTTTCCGTGTGAGGTTGGGTCGATGGAGTTGAGTTTAAGGAGCCACTGCCACCCCACTAAGGGGCAGCGGGCACCAGAGCGGGTCTCCCGCGTTCAGCGGGACGTAGGGATGCTTCCTAGCTGAGTTTTGCCCGCAGTTTTGCAACATTCCAAATAAACCCACCGAGCCCCCTGAGGACAAAATAATCAAGGTGTTAGGAAAACTCAACACAGCACTGGATGGGGGGGAGAAGAAGAGGGTGTCGGAGAATGACGTGTTCCTAAGGCATCCGAAAAAAACAGCTCCGGTTTTCCAGGGTTGCAGAAACCCGCTTTCAGCCAAACTATTTACCGAAGTTTGTTTCAAAGTGACTGCACCGTTGCTCTTGCAAATCACAGCATGCAAATGATGATAATTTGTTTTCGGTGGAACTTTCTCTTGAAATGATTAGCAAAGTCAGTCATTTGAAAATTAGAGCGAATGTTCAGACAGTTTGTGAAGCCCCTCGCTAACCGATATCAGCTTCTAAAGTTTTCATTCATGTAAACCTCATTAATGAAGATCTTTTATTTAAACGTCAAGGGGATTTGAAATTTAGAGTAAATTATGAAGCTTGTATGTCTAGCCAAGTCATGGGTCAAATGCATTTGTGAAAAACTGCTAAAAGAGCATATGGTTTTGAATTTTTCTACAATGACTAGTGTTTAAATAAATTGCTTGTACTGCTTAACTTCATGTGTAATTTTGACAGAAATTGGCCTATAGCCTTTTGATATGTAAACATTTCAGCCTTTTATGCGGTATAAAAAAGACACTTGCTTTTTAGGATCAACTCAGACAGTCACCCTGTAATTCAGAAAGCTGGCACCTACCATTACATTCTTGCTAGATTTCAACTTTCAAGTGGCAGCCTCAGGGAGAAAAAAAGGGAAAGAAAGAAAGAAAGAAAGAGGATATTTC